AATTGTTGGTTTTTTAAGTTCAGTGGTCTAATTGTTTTACCGTGTGCAGTTCGATGGCCTATTTAACCCTTATTCCAATATTATATAGTATGAATGTTAAGAAGCTAAGTCACATACAAGTAGATACTGAAAAGAATATCAATGCTAAGCAAATTTGGTAGGTTTATATTTTTTTTGGGGGAAAAGGGAGGGGGTAACCCAACCTGATTTGGTAGGTTTATATTAAATTATTAATGTATTGACTATTGAGTGAACAAAAATGCCAAATGGCACCCTAGCATATAGTATGATCCCTATACCATTAAAAAAAAAAAATGAAAGTTACTTATACAAATTAAGGTTTTAATTAAACATTATAAAATAAATAAGATATGATATTTTGAATAAGAAAACAATATTGAAAAAGTTAAATTTCATCACACTCTTTATTAATCTGTCTAAGTGCAAGCTCAGTCAACGTGCCTAATTTGACCATTAATATAATATTGAACAATTAATTAAACAGGCCGAAGATTATTTAATTGATTGTATAGATTATTAATTATAGAGTAATACTATACCCTTTTTTTTTTTTTTAGAAATACTATACTTAGTTTTTTTTTTTTTTTTTTTTTTTTTTTTTTCTACTTATTGACGTGACAAGTGACAATTTGTTTTTCTAAAAAAAAAAAAAAATAGGCCACATTTTTTTTCCCTTCCTTTAACTATATCAAGACGACAACACATAAAACAAGAATAGAGATGACTCTAATAATCAAGTTAGTCAAATAGTTGATTTGGTAATTATAATGTTTCAAATTTGATATTATGTGACACTAGTAAGGGTGTCAAAGTGGGCCGAAACTCGTATCCGTCCTGCCCAAAACAACGTTGTTTTGTTAAATTGTGTGGGGAGTTGACGCGACGGACACCGTTTTATGTGTATTATGTTAAGAGTTTATGTGTATTATATTAAGAGTTTATGTGTATTATATATGTTAAGAGTTTATGTGTTTATGTTAAGAGTTTATGCATATTATGTTAAGAGTTTATGTATATTATGTATTATGTGTATTATCCTTTCAAAAAAGATTATGTGTATTATGTTAGGAGTTTATGTGTATTCTATTATACAATAATGTACATTCTATTATACAATTATGTACATTTGAATCATGAGATTTAAAAAAATAATAATAATAACAGTAGAAACGAGAAACGAAATTTCAAAAAAAAAAAAAAAACATATACAAAACGATGTCGGTTTGAGCCAAAGTGCACAATGCATTGTGCGCCCTGGTACAGGATATAATTTGCCGATCATTGAAAACATGAGTTGCGGGCCAACCCGGGGCCATGCTATGCTTAATAAAAAAGAATAAGAAGAGTTTTTTTTTGATACTATTGACTCTATTAAAACTAGTAATTCACTCGTGCGATACACGGGGAAAAAATTATGTTATTATAAATATAAATAAAAAAATAGAAAAAATAAAAATATTTTAAATTGTTTAATATAATAATATTTTTGAGCTTCCATTGGTCAAGTATTTATTATTTTTATAGAATGCAAAATTATAATTAAAATTTTGTATGGTTAATATAATCTCTAATTATGTACATATTCAAATAAACTTATAGAGAGAATTTACATAATTACATTGATTTATTCTTAATTGTATTTCATCTATATTATAATTTTCACAATACGAATAATAACTAAGATAATTACATTTAGAAAGCAAATTTCAAATTTTGTATGAGAAAATTTAAACTCTAATTGAACACATTTTTATATGATTATATAATATATTTTAAATTATTTAATATAATAATATTTTTGAGCTTCCATTGGTCAAGTATTTATTATTTTTATAGAATACAAAATTATAATTAAAATTTTGTATGGTTAATATAATCTCTAATTATGTACATATTCAAATAAACTTATAGAGAGAATTTACATAATTACATTGATTTATTCTTAATTGTATTTCATCTATATTATAATTTTCACAATACGAATAATAACTAAGATAATTACATTTAGAAAGCAAATTTCAAATTTTGTATGAGTAAATTTAAACTCTAATTGAACACATTTTTTTTTATATGATTATATAATATATTCTTTATGCACATGGCATTCCATAAACTCAAATGTCATTTTATAAGTCCAAGACCACTTTTTGTGGAGATAGTTCAAATGTATTTTTTTTCTTTTAAAAGTCCTAAGTTTAGACATCCAGAAAAACATACGATATATACATTTATATATATTTAAATTTTTATTTATGGCTTAAATGATTTTTTTTTTTTTTAATTCTGAAGTACAATAATTGACCCACGGCCCGCAACATTTGCTTTCTTCATCCCTTCTCGCTTCTGTCATTTCTTTGAAGCATTTGAGATGGAGAAAAATTATATGTAGAAGCTTGCATTAATTGCACTGTTTCAGATATTGAATAGGTTTTCATCGAAAATTTAATTAATATTGTAATCCCAAGAACCACCATAAATAACAAAAGCATATCAAATAGATTTTCATTGTAAAGACAGAGATTTAACTAATATTTCATCGTTTCATATTTTCTATTAATCGGGAATCGGAATCCTTAATCCTAATATCATAACATTTAATAACTCCATTAATTCAATAAATGTAATCCTTTGTTATGGGCGAGAAAAAAAAATAGCTATTTTATTTTTCAAATGTTGTGTGTTTTTTTTTTTTTTTTTTTTTTTTTTTTTTTTTTTTTTTTTTTTTAAGTAAAAGATGTTGTGACTATTTTATATTTATAGCTGGTAATAATAATAATGTTGGTAATTAATTGTAACATTAATTATTTCCCAACCATATAGCTTTATTATATGTAAGAAGATGTAATACTTTCTCAACCTAATACTAAAGCACAAAGAGCCCATGCTTCCACATAGGGTTCAAACCTGAGACCTCTCAAGTCCCATTCAGGGGCGGAACCAGTGTGGGGGCAGCTGCCCCCACTCACCCCAGCCCCACCCCTAGCCCTTGTATGTATATATATATATATATATATATATATATATATATATATATATATATATATATATATATATATATATATATATATATATATATATATATATATATATATATATATATATATATATATATATATATATATATATATATATATATATATATATATATGGTGAATCAACGATTTGGTCCCTCACTTATTCGCGACTTGTCAATGTTGCCCCTGAATCACGTATTCATCGATTTAGTCCCCGAAAATAATTGTTTTTCGTCAAATCAGTCCCTATAGCCGTATTCCATCAAGTCTCAGGCGAGAGCTCCGATTTGCCCTGGGCATTTTGGTCTTTTCACGCCTTCTTCTTCATTAATTCTGACCAAGCTTCGCCTAAGAAGCTCAAGCTCGCCGGTGACCAAGTCTCACATCCTAAAGCTCCTCCGGCAAGCCAAGTCGACGCCAGAAATGCAGACAACCTTAAACCCCTCGTTATCACAGCTCACGACAACCTTAAATCCCTCCTTTTCACCACCAAGTTGTCCAAATCTTGCGAGACAATTTCGCCCGCAAGGCCTCCAAATTCGTGCTGCACCTACTGGCCAACGTTTGCCAGAGAGGGAGGAACCGGATCAAGGCGGCGGAGACCGGGGCGGCGACCGTGCTGATCGATCTACTGCTAGACACGAACGAGAAACGATATTGCGAGTGGAGTCTAAGCGTACTGGAGCAGCTTTGCCGGTGCGCGGCGGGGTTGGCGGTAGTGTCGAGGAAAATCCTGAGGGTGTCGCAGGTGGCGAATGAGAGAGGTCTGAGGATCTTGTACTCCATCGCCAAGTTCTCTGCTACTCCCAGTGTGGTGCAAGAGAGCTGCTGAGATTCTCAAATTGCTTGCTAAGCAATGGAAGAATTCTCCTTGCACGCCGGCGTTCTCCATGCAGCGTTTATTCGCCGCGTTTTCTGACGCGAGGGACCTTAGGGTTTGGAGAACTTTGGTTTGCATTTCCGGCGTCGACTTGGCTTGCCGGATGAGCTTTAGGATGTGAGACTTGGTCACCGGCGAGCTTGAGCTTCTCCGGCGAAGCATGGTCAGAATCAATGAAGAAGAAGGCGTGAAAAGACCAAAATGCCCAAGGCAAATCGGAGCTCTCGCCTGAGACTTGACGGAATACGGCTATAGGGACTGATTTGACGAAAAATAATTATTTTCGGGGACTAAATCGATGAATACGTGATTCAGGGGCAACATTGACAAGTCACGAATAAGTGAGGGACCAAATCGTTGATTCACCCTATATATATATATATATATATATATATATATATATAGTACATGTATTAGATATAAATATAAGAAAACAGCTAAAAATAATAATAGGAGTGTTAGACTAGTTGGTAGATGCGTGTTTGGCCTTGTGAAAGGTTGAGGGTTTGATCTTCATTGCTATTTTTGGAATTTCAACTACTTCTTAAATTCTTCTTTATGTTTTTACAATCACTGTTGCTGTGTTTTTGAATTTCAACTTCTTTATGTTTTATAATCCCTATTGCTGTTTTCGACTTTCATATGGTTTTCTAATATATATATATATATATATATATATATATATATATATATATATATATATATATATATATATATATATATAGGGTGAGCTTCAGGTGAGAACCATCTTAAGGTAGGAACGTAAGAACTAATCCAGGCCTTTGAATCCCATCTAATCAATGGGTTAGATTGATTAAACATTAATAAGGAGACCATTAATAGAAATAATTAAAAAGGATATTAGGGTAATTTTCAACACCAAACAATTGATAATTAATATTAAATTCATATCATCCCAATAATGTAGGGGATGCAACGCTCAAGGACTCTAATTTGTCTACAAATCACGCCACAACAACACTGCTCCAGAAAACTCTCCGACAACTCTTTGCGAATTCCGGCCGGCCAAGTGCAGCGGGAAGCATCTAAAGCAGCGGACCAAGTGATATTCGACGGTAGGAAAGATGGCAACAGGATACAACAACAGTAAGTGCAATCTATGAATATGTACACATGATTTTGTATGCAACTTAAATTGGGGGGGGGGGGGGGGTGTGGAATGGTAATGGATTGTTTACGCATACACTCAGGCATCACATTAAATGAAATGGCACTGTGCGCGGTTGCAAGCGGAAACAGTGATGTGCATGTCTTGCCCTACTGGGTTTAAACACCTAATGGGCAGCACCCGAACCGCTGCGGGGCACACATTGCCCTAGGCATACGCAGCTATGTGCACCCACAATTAAGAGGAAGTGCACAGACGAACCCACATGTAGCATTATGTGCACACCAATCCGCCCATAAGGGCACAGACTTAGCCACAATGTCGGAGTAGTGATACTAACTTCTGCTCATGGCATAATCCCCTTAGTCGGGCCGCACGTGAGGCGGAGGGTGCACCTACGGTCCCATTACTGTGCCAACAGGGTGGTCAAACCCAGTCACCGTGCACTTTGGTTATAACCTGAGTGCCACACAAGTCCAATACATATTGAACTAACAAATTTGCACCCCTTGACAGGTGAAGACGGCTTAACAGGGAAACCAACTGGGTGTTTGATGAACATCTCCCCCGGATCAACAAAGTACTGGACCCCACAGTGTGAAGCGGCCAAAACGCCTTTTGAGGGACAAGTGTTCACTACTTTGGAGGGAGGAATTGAGTTCTACAAAGCTTATGCCACTACTACTGGGTTTGATGTGCGGCGCGCTTCCGAAAAAAGGGATTGGCAAGGGCAAATCACGTGGAAGTATGTGTTGTGTTCACGTTCTGGCTTCAAACTCCCTACCGGCCAAGGGGACGGGGTAGGGGTGCTATCAGCCGAAGACAATGCCCCACCTAAAAGGCGCCGTGTCACGAATAGGGTGGGGTGCAACGCTAAAATAATATTTAAGAGAGTAAAGGACGGAAATGGTTATGAGGTATCGGCAATTGAGGAGCGCCACACCCACTTGTTGTGCACTGCAGTTTCTAGGCCCTTCATGAAGGCAAACCGGAAGCTAGACCTTGGGCACCAAAACTTCATCATCAATTGTGCCAAGGCAAATATCGGGTACACCAAATCATTTACACTATATGAAGAGATGGTTGGAGGGTTTGAGAATGTTGGAGCTACAGTAACAGACTTCGGGAATTACAGAAGAGATATAATGGCTTACATAGAAGGCGCAGATGCCCAATTAGTGATTGACAAGTACATGGCAAAGAAAGATGTGTCCACCGACTTCTATTTTGCCCACGATGTTGATGAGCTTGACCAACTGTGTCGAATATTTTGGGCAGACCCACAAGCTCGCCACAGTTTCAAACTATTCGGCGATGTTATGTCCTTCGACGCCACATACAGTACAAACAGGTACATACCACACCCTACACCTACATTTATGCTCTCATAGACCAATGTTCACGGATGATGTTACAAAGTGAGTGCACAGAATTAGTGCGAATGGTTGCCCCGGCACCACAAATGGTCTCCAATGTGGCAGGACCACTTGGGGTGCACTCCCATTTAGGGTGATTGCTGTCTGCACTACAATAGACCATGGAGACTGGGCATGACCCTGCTGAGTGGGGCACTCAGTTTGACCCCATCGGGTACAGAGTCGGGGCTAGATATGCACACCCCCAGAGGCTAGAAGTGCACACAGCGACCCAGTAAGCTAACCAGCTAGTTTTGCTACGCCTTTCTGTTTAACACTGTGCGGAAACCTAAAAACCAAAGCAATGCATGTTCGTGCCATACTGTGACATACAACATGGTGGCTTAGTGAACCACTCAACTTACTATGCTTCTCTATTTACATTTAACCCCAAAGGGTAACTAGTGCGACAGAATCCGTTTGCTGTTACAACCATTTGAGTGTGTACTGTGTGCACATATGCCCATAAACGTTCGTGCACCTGACCATTAAAGGCAGGTGCACACAGCTAATGCCCATAACGCACTACATCTCACAGTACACGAATAAGAATGTTCTGCTGTGCCTATCAGTTTCCTACGGGTCACCATGAACACACTTTTTTTGCATAGTGGTTGTCCCCACCCCCACTTAGTAACTAACCATTAAATTTTTATACACCATGTGATGACTACAGGTACAAGCTGGTGTTTGTGCCATTCACCGGGGTGGATCACCACAAGAAGAGTGTGACATTCGCAGCGGGATTAATTGCCAAAGAAGATGTGGACTCCTACACCTGGCTGCTCGAACACTTCAAAAAGGCAATGGGTAAAGTACCCGCGTGCACAGTTACCGACCAAGATCCTGCAATGAGAGTGGCAATATCGCGTGTTTTTGATACAACACGCCACAGATACTGCATATGGCACATCATGACAAAGGTTTGCGAAAAGGTAGGGCCTACATTAGCAAGGAACGAAGATTTCTTAAGAAGCCTAAATAGTGTGGTCTGGAATGAGACGCAAACAATTAGTGAGTTTGAAGCAGCATGGCAAACAGTAATGGAAAAACATGAACTGGTTGACCACAGATGGTTTACCCACTTGTTTGAGATACGTGAATATTGGATACCAGCATTCTTTAACGACATGTTCATGGGTGGCTTAATGAAAACAACCTCAAGGTCGGAGTCAGAGAACAACGTCTTCAACAGCTGCACTTCCCCACATCTAAGTTTAACGGACTTCTTCATAAAGTTTGAGAAAGCAATAGACAAACAACGCCACACCCAAACAAGGCTAAACGCAGATTGTGAGGACAAATTCCCAGAGTTGAAGACAACTTTATTGCTAGAGCGTCAAGCTGCTACAACATATACAATTGCTGTGTTCTATGATGTCCAAAAAGAGATACTCGAAGCATGCTTCTCATCCCAAATCATTAACAAAACAGTTGAAGGAAACACTATCAGACTTGAAATAGAGGATACAAACAAGATGGTGTACTCAGTGGAATACAATTCTGCCACCCAGACAACACACTGCACATGCAATATGTTCAATAGGATTAGACTACAGTGTAGGCATGTATTGTTGGCGTTTAAGGATGCACGTTTGGAAAGAATACCAGTACAATATATCACTCCACGATGGACCCGCATTACATGTTGGCCATACGTACAGCTTTATGCAAACCCTGAACTAGGCGAGCCTACAGAAGTTGTTAGTGGGGATACACGAATGGGTACCGTATTCGATGAGTTCTTCAAGTGTGTTGGGAACGCGTACGGTAACACTGATCGAATAACAGAGCTAGCACAAATGTTGAAAGAGTATAGAGAAAAGACAACAGAAAGCATGCCGCAAATGGAAACTAGAGCAAGGAAAAGTGGTATGATACGTAGCTTCTGTGGGTCAACCTCATCACCAAACATTTTGGTTCACCCCCCCGCCATTGCAAAGAACAAAGGTTCGGGAAAGCGATTGAAATCAGCAAAGGAGATCGCATCGGATGTAGCTGGAAAGAATGTAAGGAAATGTAGGACTTACAACAAGTACGGACACCATGATAGCCGCAACTGCGAGCTGCGACCAAAAAACCAAAAACAAAAAAAAAAAAAAAACTGCCTAATGGAAAGAGGCCATATGTTGATAGTGAGCACCTGCGATGGACAGTGTGTGCCATTTAGCCCTACTGCATAACAGTTTTTTAACATCATTCTTTAGAAGTGTATTTGTGTACGACTAATTATCACCAAACTTGTTTTTACATATATCTATATACGTGACATCATGAATCTGTGCTTTAGACCCTGCTCTTTAAGTAGGAGATGTACATGCCAATGTGCACCCCTAGCACACAGAGTGTGCCACACACCTCATACTGGGTACACGGTGCTCTTGTGCACCCATCCACAGTACTGGGTGCCTTCAAACGACACTAGAGTGCAGTATTTTGCACCCGAATGATTTTATTGCAATTGAGTATGAATACCCGACCGCCAATATCATTTTTCAGCAATACATACGTGGCGATGTAAATCGCGGCCAACCAATAATAGCGGACTGTGTGGTGGAAGAAGGTACAGCATACAGGTGTGTGCATATGTGAAGTTCTGAGTGTGCCAAGCTGGACATTGCGTGAGCACATACTTGTATGTGTCCGTGCACCTATGAACATACGACCCATTTACATGGCGCCAAGAATTACCCTACTCAAAACATACTAACAAACTAACAAGGTGAGTTCACCATACCCACCACCACCACCACCCAAGCCCCCCCGGGTTGATAAAATCTCTAGGCATACAAACATAAGGATAGCCGCAACTGCCAGCCGCGACCAAAAAACCAAAAAAAATAAAAAAAGACTAATAAAAAGAGGCCATATGCTGATAGTGAGCACCTGAGACTGAACGTGTGTGCCATCCAGCACTACTGCATAACAGTTGTCCACTAATTCTATAGTAGTCTACTTCTGGACGAATAATTGTCATCGAATTTGTTTCAACACATATGTATATACGTGACATCATGAATCAGTGAAAAGAAAAATGTTCTAGCTGCGGTTTTCTTAGTAGGAGATGAACATGGCAATGTGCACTCCTAGTAAACAGAATGTGCCACACACATTAAACCGGGTACGGGGGTGCTACCGTGTACCTGACCACAATACTGGGTGCCTTCCAACAACACCAGAGTGTAGTATTGTTTCACCAAACGGTATTATGGAAATTGAGTATGAATAACCAACGGCCAACATCATTTTTCAACAATAGCACCCAGTGACAGTGAGCACCTGAGACTGACAGTGTGTGCCATTCAAGTCTATGGCGTAACAGTAATCACCTCATTCTTTATTAGTCTATTTGTGTAAAAATAATGGTCATCGAATCTGATTTAACATATATCTATATACGTGCAATCATGTAGGCATAGCATACAGGTGTGTGCAGATGTGAAGTTATGAGTGTGCCGAGCTAGACATTGCGTGAGCACATACTTGTATGTGTCTGTGCACCGCTAAACATATGACCCAAACACGTGGCGCCAAGCATTCCTATACCCAAGAATTAATAACAGCGTAACAAGCATTACTATACTCAAGAATTAATTAGCACGCGTATAAACTAGGAATCTAACACCAACGAACATCACCCCACCATTTATTCAGAGAAAAATGTGCCAAATGAATCAAAAAATAAGGTCCATAATACCACGAGTAGACAAACAAAGTAAAATAGATAATGGACTAGCTACACACGAATCTATGTTGCACCCCCATCATCACGATATTCAACCGCGCTTCGAATGTTTTTCGAATGGTGTATGTTCAACTCGGCCGTCAAAATTTGACACATATAACTTGCCCTCAGCAAATCAAGGACACCACTATCCCCCTTGTGCAGACCACAATCCCATGCATTAACAGGCTGCCCCAAGAAACACTCCATGTGCCGCATAGCAAAGACTCCACAGTCCACTTTGTTATGCACATCCCGCCACCGCATCTGCATTCTCCTAGGGATAATTCTCCGTACAATATACCCATACTGTTCGTCAACCACGTCATCAAGGAACACAGACAAGAAATCTTTCTGTCAAAGGCACAACAACGTTAGGAAGCCACAGGAAAAAAATACACAACAAACAGCATGCCTAAAAACACAGGTGATGGGAAATGAAACCGACTAAGAAACACTGTGAGCACATTCAAGTATTCGTGTGCACTGCAGTGCACAACTGTGTGCCCCACAGGCAACTGTGTGCGTATACACATCAGTCGGAAACAGTGCAGGACAATATTGCCCGCAACGAACAGCAAACAACATAACCAAAACTAAACGCAGTGGGAAATCAATAACATACCAGCACATCAGGTGTACCCCCATACTTTGTCCCATTAGTCCCACTAGCCGACGAATTGTCGATTATGTCAATGCGTTTCCGAACCATGTCAACACTTATAACATAATAGTGCTCACTCTGAAGAATGGGGAAAATGAACTGCACATGACAAAAATAATTAGCTAACAACCATAACGACTACAAACAGCAAAAAACAAGACAGACATACACATTAATCTAACCCCCACACGGACACAAAACCACACAAAGAACTAATGCAACACCACACAACAGAAAACAGACAAACAATTACAAATACCATGTTAATGCTGCGCCATGACGCATAAGGAGACAACTTTAAACCCGCCTCCATGCGCTGAGAGAACCAATCAAGGCGACGTGCACGTGACTGAGACTGAGACACTACTGTATTGAGCTACACATAACCACAACACAAAATCGCAAACCAGATTTATCTACATATCACAATATTTTAAAAACAAGACAACAACAATACAAGATAACGTACCGTAGTCTCAATCGAAGCAAAAAACCTGCAAGGAGCACCGTCCGTCCGAGCCAACTCCCTTACGGTCAAAATACATGACCAACTATCAATTACGGCCACACGCAACTGGGATCCAATTTTCAAGGACAACAAATCCTCACGTGTCGCTGCCCACCCGTTATAGTTGAATAATTCCTCGTGGCTGGTACAAAAACACAACACACACATAAGATAAGCAACCACACAAACAGTTACCCAACAAAAGCAGAAGGAGGAAAACTTACATGTGAGCCCGGGGATTGTCCACGATCCAGTCATAAAACACATGCGAATCAGGGACGCTGGGCAAATATCTGGATATCAAACCATCACCACCTTGTGCTGAGCCCCCAACCGCGTGAGGGCGTCGCGGCTTCACCGGCGCAGCCAACTGAGGCGCACATCCTTGAACCGAACGCTCCCCAACACGCGGCATAATTTGCTACATACAAATATTAATCACCACCAACGAAAACATAGCACGCACAAAACTATTATAAGAAAGAAAAATACCGCTGCCGGGGTAAGCACTTGCAGATCACAAGCCATTGAACACACACCGCCAACAATTCCACTATCTACTGGCACAACAACTCCTCTAGATGGTGGATTCGCGGTGACAACGGCAGTATGCATTGACGCGCTGCGCACAGGCTGAAGAACAAAAAATAAAAAAAAAAAATACTTAGGTGTACTTTCAGAACTACAAGCACGTGCACATACGTTACTACGCAAGTGCACGCAAAGCAGACACAGTGTGGCCTGTGCACTTTGACAGAACTGTGTGTGCACCTGTGCATATGCATAAGAACGTATTCATGCACCAACCACATAAGCATTCTAAACGGGACAAAACACACCCTGCCACAACTTAACAGTACTAAATGTGCAAGGAAAAAGTCCAAAATTAAAACCACAAGACTACACTCACTATGCAAGTGTCATCTAATATCAAAACACAATGACCGGATTGCGCATAACTAATACGAAACAATATATATAACATCTAAAGCCAAATACAATACCTTGCTGCATGTGCATAGTACAAAACAACAAGTTATCAACACTATACAACTACCGCAGCACATCAAAAAATCAGTACAAGGAGACTGCTCACCAAGTACAAAAACATCCCACCACCAACAAAACAAAGCCCCAGTACACAACCCTACAAACCCAACCCCTTAGCTTTCCTACGCTTGTAGACAATACTTACTGCAGCATCAGGGACTCGCAACGGACACCCAGACGGAGAACCACCAACCACATCACCTGAATCATACTGATGGGCCACCTCCAAAACATCAGCCCCCTGCTGCACCTGAAAATCCTGCGTCAATCCCAAGCTAAAAGATGGAATATCATGCATAGCATTCCGCAACTGGATCGCTCGCTCGACCTCCTCGAGAGCACGCAAATTCGCAGGGTCAGCCCAAATCGCATCCTGAGACGGCGTGAACAACGACTGTGAAGTCTGCTGAGTAGGCATGGTAGACCCCCCAGTGGCATGACCAACACCGAGCATCGCGCGCGACGCATCTAACACCTGGACCAAACTGTCTGTCTGCAAATCAGACCCAGCACCATAAGCCTCTTGTAAAACCTGCATCAACCGAAGCATAGATGTGGCCGCAGCCTGTGCATTCTCGATCACCCGAACAACCAACGGCTGCAACCCCCAATATAAAACAAAAATAGAGAACAGTCAACCACAAGTTTGCGAAAAAAAGAACACCAACTTACACAACTACATAAACCACGCACTAACCAGCAACTATAATATATAAAACACCCAAAGAGGCCCACCATTGCTTTCCAACACTTTGTGCACCCTCGTCCCCTAGTGGGTGCACACAGGCAGCCACTCAGAAGGCAGTCGTGTGCCAACAAAAGCAAACAAAACTTTAAAGGCATTAAATGGACGACATAGCCTTACCTTGCTAATCTCTGGCTCACGGTGGCCATCCAATGCACCACCTTGACCTCCACTCAGTACACCCACATTGACACCATCCGAGGCCCCCACACCACCAAGATCAACAAACCGTGGCTGAACAACCCCCCCCCCCCCCCCCCACCAAAACCACCACCCCTAATCTCTGCAAACTCGCGCTCACGCAACAACTGACTTGTCCAACCTGAAAAGGCTGGAACGGCTCTGGGAACAGCGCGAGCGGCACCACAAACACGATCCACATAGAAAACCTACGAAACACACGTGCACACACATCAAACCCTACATCCCAAAAATAAAAACATAAACAAAACGAAACAAAACGGAGACACTACCGTAAAAAACAATAGGGGC